ATCTGAAGAGTTGCAAAATGCAGTCCCCTCCTCAAAGGAAAGGCCTTGTCATGTGGCACCCAGGAGGTTCAGTGTGGGATCAGGCTTTAGATGAAGGAGAAAGCCGATGCTGCTGACACAAGATGCTGCATGCAGGTGCTTCCCTTGGATTTCAATCTGAAAACACATATGCAGCTCTTCTGAAAAACTGAATAGTCATGTATGCTGCTTAGGGTTGTTTGGGAAATTTGTACTGAGCTGTTCAGGCCAGAGGCTGTGTCTGTAGGCTTGTACCGTGCCTGGAAGAAGAGTGTGCTAAAAGAGGTGACTGTTTTATTTTAACATCAAGTGTATTGACAATTGCATTCCTCGGCATACTTTATTTATGGATAAAATGTATGGTTAATCTGTTTTGTATTAAATATCACTGATGACCTGACATTTTTCTTAAGCTAAATGCTGTGCTTAAGCTTTCATGTCTTCTGTTTTGCATACCTTTCAGGTGGTTTGATTAAAAACAAGTTTTCATTAGGCAAGACCACATGATCTCAGCTTAAGCCCAAGACAATTTTACATTCCAAAGGACACTTTAAAATTCTATTTTAAAAATTGCTGAGAATATTCTTAAATACAGTGTGCTGCCTGTCACTGTTTCCTAGATGCTTGTCTATTACAATTTGGGGTATAATGGCATGCAGAGAGACATCCAGTCTGTCCCCACAGTCTTGAATCTGTCTTGTTTGTTTGTTTGTTTTTCTGTAGAATAGGTATTCTTGGAAATTCATCACGGTGGCTCTAAATGATGAGCACAGTGGATGAAGAGGGGCGTTTTTGTGGAAGTTGGGCACGAGTTGGCGTTCTCTGTACAGCAATTTTTGCATACCTGCTGATAGGTGTATTTATAGTCTGAAATGCCAGGTTGTATAAAGCAGCAGAAGGGGAAGGGGCGCCTGAAGAAGAGTGTCAGACTTAAGGCTGGAAATCCTTGACAGTGAGTTGGCAGAGGTAACTTTAAATATGCTGCTACCTTGCAAAGGCAGGTCAGAAATGCCGTCAGTGAGTGTGCCTTGAATTCTGTGTCGTGCCTGCGCAGCTCCCTGTGCATGGGTACCTTGTTTAAAGTTAGTTTGATTATGTCCGTGCTTTACAGAGGCTTGCAGTATTGTTATATCCTGATCTTGGTTGATTTAGCACCCTTTTCTCCTCTGGAATTTGAAGTTGGCTGTGCTCTTCTGCCTCTTAATCAGGTTGCATGAATACTTGAGCCAAAAGAATAAGCTCCCTGTTATTACTGTAAAGATGGCCATAAACACAGGGGGGAAAAGTCCTTGCTAAGTAGCTCAATAACTGTTTTAAAGGGTTTTGTTTTGTTCTTTCAATGGCTGATTAAAAAAATCCTGAGGCATTTGGTAATGATCATTGTGTTCACAGTGAAAATGCACTCTGCTGTAAAGCAAATTCTGCAGTGCTGCATGATTCTGTCAATATTTCAGCCAGTAAATAGATGCTGGGCCGAGTCTTTAAGGTAAAAATCATTTAGGGAAATAACACGGCTTCAGAGAGGAATCCTTCTAGATCGTGGTGTGTCTGTGCTTTTGGCTACCTTTTGGAAAATGCCCAAGTTCAGGTGAACGCTGGGTTGAGTTTGTCTCTAAACACAGAATCCATGGGGCTGGCTTAAGAACGGCTCAGAGCCAGAAATAATGTTAAAGGTTTAAATGTGTTGACAACCTCTGCCTAAAAATCACAGTTGTAGTTTTCTTCCTGGTAGGGTAGTTGTACTCAAGATTGCTCTAAATAAATTAAGGATTACCCCTCCGCCCCCTGCCTTTTTTTGTCATACATTTGGCCTCTCTTCTTGTACAGCCCTCTTTGGTGCGTCCAAGTCTGTCTTGTCTGCTATATAAAAAAAGCATGCAGTAAAAAGAAAAATGCTTTAGGTGAGAGGGGTGAGGGTATTAATATCAGACACAGTAACAGGTAACATAATGTTTGAAATGAATCCGGGAAGTCTTCCAATAAACTTGAAGCCAAATTCATACTACTCTTGTGTGTTTTCCCCCTGGAGCGAATTAATGTTTTCAAATTGAGCCATGCAGGGTCATGTGTTCCTTTTTCAACTGCATCAGGAAAAAAACATTTCTTTAATTTCTTTATTTTAATATTAAAAATCACCTTGGACCTTTCTTTTTTTCCTGGATTTTGTTTGTTTAATAATTGAAAATTTTCTGTCCTGATCTGTGCATGGCATAGGAATATGGAGGAGTGATTAGAGGCAGGACTCATGATGGGAAGATTGAAGTAAATGTCTTGAAAGAAAGCTAAGAGGCAAAGGCTCGGCGAAAAGCATGATTTTATCCAGAAAATTCTCCAGAAAGTGGCCCAGATGGAGAGAAAGAGTGGCTTTCTTCCATGGCTTGTCAGGAAGGCTGCTCCAGAGAAGGTGAGGGTGTTTGCGGTGGCACATTGGTGGTGCTTTGTCGCCAGAGCCACGATTCCCCAACCTGGGGGATGGCAGCTGCCATAATTTTATCAGGAATTGCCAAGGAGAAGCTCTGCAGGCATGTGCAATGTAGTGCTCGTGCAGTCATTTGTTGAATATAAATAGTTTGTGTGTACCCGCTAAGTCCAGTGCTTGCAGGAAGCATATGACTGATCCTACACAGAATACATGGGCTGTAGGTGGATGCGCAGCGTATCCTTTGGGTGCCTTCCAGAAGTGTCAGACCGAGGCAGAGATATTCATTGATTGTGCGCTGCCTGCACTTACAAAAATGCCTCAGAGGTGCTGTGTGTCCTTGGTGCCGTGGTTCAGTGTGCGTTCAGTGCACAGGTCTGGGGTGTCCCTGTAGTTGTCCTGACGGAGCTGCTGTTCCTCTGGAGGTAGAGGGCAAGCAGAAGCTGGGAAACATATTTGGGAAAACTCAGACATATGGTGGCCTTATGCAGGATCCTCTTAGGGCTTTTTTATAGCTGCAGGCAATAAGAAGCCGAAATGGAGCCTGTCAGGTTATGATGCTACCAGCAATGCGGTGTTTGCTTGATGTTTTCTGTTTATGGGCCAGCAGAGAGGAAAGACTGTTGGTGCTGGAGAAAGGAACAGCATGGAAGGATACGCCCCAAAATTTCATGGGGAAGAAGGGAATGAACTGCAACCAGTAATTTCCACAGCTGATGTATGTCTTCATTCCCCAAGTGCTCCTTTATATCCCAAGATGTGGATTGTAGATTTGCAGACTTAGTAGCTGCTCTAAGTCCTTAGTTGTATAATCCTTCTTCTTCTGCTTCAAAACAGAGGACTGGTGTTTAAGAGGGGATTAAAACCATACTGGTGCTTCTAGTGTCCTTGAAATAGGGTTTTTAGGGGAAATGAGGGAAATGGCACACATTTCACAGAATCACAGAATCACAGAACGTTAGGGATTGGAAGGGACCTCAAAAGATCATCCAGTCCAATCCCCCTGCCGGAGCAGGAACACCTAGATGAGGTTGCACAGGAAGGCGTCCAGGCGGGTTTTGAATGTCTCCAGAGAAGGAGACTCCACAACCTCTCTGGGCAGCCTGGTCCAGTGCTCTGTCACCCTCACTGAGAAGAAGTTTCTTCTCAAATTTAAGTGGAACCTCCTGTCTTCCCGTTTGTGTCCGTTACCCCTTGTCTTATCATTGTTTGTCACTGAGAAGAGCCTGGCTCCATCCTCGTGACACTCACCCTTTAAATATTTATCAACATGAATGAGGTCTCCCCTCAGTCTCCTCTTCTGCAAACTAAAGAGACCCAGCTCCCTCAGCCGCTCCTCATAAGGGAGATGCTCCACTCCCTTGATCATCTTTGTACATAGGCATACTTGTGCGCCACTTTACTGTGATCTTGCGGATACAGTTTGGTAACTACTGGTTGTGAGACAACGAGAAAATGAGAAGATGGCTCTACAGGAGCAGGCAGGTAAAGACTGCTCAACAGCAACGGTGAAGCGGGGGTAGAATATTACACAGCAGACTTAGTTTACAGATCTGTTGTTTTGGACTGGTTGAGTGTTGTGTACATTGGGTTGAATCAGTTGGCTCTGGGTGGTAGTTTTACAGTGATGATTCAGCATTGGTATTGTCTTTCCTTATAAAGGAAAACAGTTTGCTTCCTGCCTCTTTCTTCAGAAATTCGGCTGTTATTGTAAATGATTGGAATTAGCTGTTTCCTAATGGTTGTTTTGAGTGCACATAGCCATTGAATTAGACTTTCTGCTACAAAACCAAGTAATTTCCTAATTAGCACCTTAAAGGATCACCTTTAATGCCACCTTCTGCAGCTTTTCTACTTAAGTCTCTCCTTTTTCCATGTCTTTCCTTCATCTTAGTCTTTATTTATTCTTCCCCAGCTGCCAGCCATTTCCATCTGCCCCATTGCTGGTCACAAGAACTGCTCTGTACTTTCTTGGGAAGACAAGAACAAGACACGCTCCTTCTTCACATTCACTCTTTCACTGATTTCCATTTCAACTTTTTTTTCCCTATTTCCATGCAGTAGCCCTCACTTCCCTCCCCGCTTTAATCTCCTTAATTTGTTCCCCTGTGATGGTGCTGACTGGCCCCTGCAGAGAGGACACAATTAGCAGCAGGAGGTGGCTGCTTGCGGGAGCCGAGGGAGGCCCGTCCTTCGTCCTTCGCACTGCAGTGCCGTGAGATCTGGTGTGGAGATAGAGATAGGAGCTCTTCTGCTCTGTTTCCACAAACAGCGAAGTGCTTCAGCCAACCTGGAGCAACTGTGGCGTTTAGTTACTCATTGAAAAGATAAAGGGACAATGTTTACTAGATAGATCACTGTGTTTCACTGTGGTGAGTGTGTCTGTTTGGCTGTGCTTTCTGTCTCTTGATTGTAGTATTTTCTGTTGTTCAGACTAGCAGTTACTGCAGGTTAATAAAATCCATCTTTTAAAATATGGTTGCTTCTGTGTTTTGTGGGGATGGCACGTCTCTCCTGGATAATGCTACTTAACAATACATATGATTCTTGTTTGCAATTCTAGGAATGCTTTAAGGGAAGCTGGGCCACTCACAAGTTACTACATAAGAAAGCAAGTAAGTATGGGCTTTTAAAAATCCATTTTAATATTGTGTTGATTTTTATTTTTGTCCTGTGCAGCCAGCTGTAGATGGCCCTGCTTGCACAGGTCCTTTCCAACCTCAGCTGCTCTGTGGTTCTGCATTGATAAGAACAGTGTGGATTTTTCCAAGATATCTGGCACTGGTTTCCACATATCTGAAATTTTGTCCCGTTCCTGGTAATGTACAGATCCACGTAAAATTTCAGAGACAGTGGTACAGAAGCCTCTGTTCCCATTTCTGTTTGTACAAAGCGTTCCTTGTGCCACATTGTCAGGTACATGAACCGAGAAAGAGGGATGCTGAGGTAGAGGGCAAGGAGAATAATAAATCAAAGTTACAAGGCATTGCCAGGCTTGTTCCATCATAGCATTTTGATGTCTGATGTAGTAAAAGGCAGGAAAATGGAAAAGGTTCCTGTGAAGTCTGTGTGATTAGACACTTGCTGGAATGCAAGTGAGCCAGAGTGCAGCTGTTCTGTGCATTGGGGGTGTGTTGCTTTGGGGGAAATTTAAAAAAAAAAAAGAGGAAAATGCTTTTGGGCGCTGATGCGGCCATTGGTACGAGGATGTATTGTAGCTAGGATCTTGCTGAGTTTAGTTGAAGGCAGTAAGAGTATTTGTATGCCTTAGTTACTGCTGGTAGCTCTGGCACAGAAATACTGGTAGATTCTCCCTTACGTGAGTAGTAAAAATAAGCCATGAGTTTAGAACCAAAGAAACAAAAAGAGCAAACCCCACTTCTGCCTGCTTGGCCTCTTCCCCTCCATCCCTCCTACCCAACTGCATCAAGCCCTGCTTAAAAGTGAGGTGGGATTAAAAAGTAAGTGGCATGGCAGAAAGTCAAATCTTCAGGTCATTTCCCTCCTCCTTTCCTAAAACCCAATAAAACTCGTTTTTCAGTGATAAGTGTTACATGGTAAATAGGTTGGGGTAGCACAGACAATTACAAATGTTTTCCCCCTTTCTGCCTTCCCAGTGTAAGGGTCTTATGGTTCACACTTGCATTCTGTATCCTGTTACTTTATACCTGCATGAATATACAGTTGTCTTTGTTAGTGCTTCTTGTAATTCTCTGGTGCAGTCCTCTAATGCTGCTGTTTATCTGGCAGTGAACTTTTTTATGATACCACTAAATTCGTGATCCTGTTGGCTTCCTGGATAACTGCTGACCTCAAGCTGAGCAGCCCTGGTTCTGATGTCCCTCAAGTCCTCAGTGCAACAAACTACTGAAGCATGTCAAGAGAATCTAAAATATTGCTTCATTAAATCTTTGGATTTTTAAACTGTGACTTCTCAGTGGTTTATCTGAACTGAATGTGATATGAGCAGATGGCTCAGATGTCAGCCACAGAGACTGAGGAGCTCACGTTAAGGCTTACTATGGCAGACCTTTTGCTGTCTTTTCCCTCTTGTGAGATATAAAAAGAGAAAACAAGCTTAAGTTATCGGGCTGTGAGTTAAACATTAATGCTAACATGCTCTTTCTTAACCCTTGCCTCCTCTTTCCGAGTAAATATTTTTCCTTTTGTTCATGCTCACGACCTACTTACTTCAGTCCTTTATGGAAACACCCTCAGTCTGTCCTGTTAGGACTGTGTTATTTGTGAATGAAGTCAGTCACAGGACCACATCAGACACCAGTTTCACAAGGTTAAGAGAAGTGGCAGCACCCTCACTCTTTGCATTACATCTGGAGAGGCAGCAGGCTCCATGTATTGAAACCAGGAGTTGGATACCCTCCTTCCCACCCCAGATAATTTCTGTCACTGAATACTAAGAGAAATCACAGGAAACATTCATCTACAGCCCAAGAGCATCAGTTGAAGGGATAGTGAGTGTTTCTGTAGAAATATGCTTTTTCCCAAAATGAGAACAAGCACAGAACTATGTTTTAGAACCTCAAATGAAGAGCAGCTTAAATAATCACTACACAGCCTTTGTGGATTCAGTACTGCTGTCCTCACACTCCTCAGTTTGCTGTTGAGTAAAGATAGAGTTGGCAGGATGTGAATTTTGAATGTGAAAAAAACTTAAGGGCAGTACAAAAATGGTAACTGCTACTTGCACTTTCATATACCAGTATCTAAAATGCCAGAAGGAGTCAAATCAAGACACACATATTTCTAGGTCACTTTCTGCCCTCCACAGTAGGACTGATTTTTCTGCTGCAATTTTTTTTTTCCTTATTTTTGTCTTTTCAGAAGATGAAAAAGCAAAGCGTGAAGTTTCCTCCTGGACCCTGGAAGGTGACATTAATACAAATCCCTGGTCTGGCTATCGATATACCGGTAAACTCAGGCCACACTATCCACTGGTAAGCAGTAGGTGCTATTCTGCACTCCAGTGCTGCTACATCCTGTAGCAACTAATGGACCTGTCCTGACCCGGTTACCTCCCACGTTTTAGCTGAGAGAGCTCTAGCTGCTTAAACATTCTGAACCTGATGGCAAGGACATGTATGACTGTGTCCTTCCTGTGGTTCGTTTTGATTTAACTTGATCTATCTCTTGTTATATTAAAAATCAAGGAAGTGATTCTCCTAGCTGTTTGCTGTTCTCACCAATGATGGAGCAGTCTGTTGCAGAAAAACTCAGGTGAACTAACTTAGAATTGAAATAAGTGGGTTTATATTATTTTATGTAAATTGTTTGAAATAACCCGATGAGTAAGCTGGTAAACAGCTCTGCTGAAAAAACAGAGGTTATAATAATCTCCAGCACAGCAATGGTGAAGAATGACTGAGGTCAGTCACATCTTCAGCTGTGAAAGGTGGGTTTAGAAGATGTCCTCAGTGTAGCTGCATTTTTAAATCGGTACAAGTTTGTACATGGAATAAGCCAAAGCTTTTACAGGAATAATGGCATTTTATTTACATGCGTCTTTTCTAATTGGCCTGTGCTAGAAATGCTGCCCCTGTGGCATCCTCTCCATAGCCTTCTCTGTCAGAGAATAGATTAACAGAGCCTGAGCCCACATGCATTTGCTACTGTAAATAGATGTAGAAAGGATTTTTGGTTTGGATATGTCACTGACCAAGCAATTCGGTAGTGTTATCGCTGAACATTGGCTTTTTTGTGTCATCTGCCTGGTGTAGGATGGATGCAAATTGAACTATAACAAGAAGTGCTCATGACTAGGGTGATGATTAGAAATAACAGTCTCGCTGATAGACACCAATAACCAGAGAGAGGAAGGATGTATTTGGAACCAGTGCATTTGCAGCCTGGAAGGAAGCAGAATAAACACTACAACGTAACGGGGATAATATGTCATAAAAACAGTTTCATTTAGTTGACACATAAAAGTTTGATTATTTACAAAGCTGTGAAGTTGGCTGTTAGAAGTTGTATAATATAAAAGCAATAAAGAGTAGCAGAATCTTTGAGAAATTAGAATTGGAAGTGTTTTGAAGTGTTTGCATATGTCACAACTTTTTCTAAGTGAAATTAGCAGTATTTCACTGTATTTAATTTTGCTGCATGAGTCTCTGGTTTTGTGACAGCAATAAGTATTCCTGCAAACTAACCGGCTTTGACTATGATTTATTTAGACGCCAACAAGACCTGTGCCAAGTTATATTCAGAGACCGGATTATGCTGATCACCCGCTAGGTAACGTGAAACAAATCACAGTTATGGAGTGTGATGTTTGCTTTATCTTTTTCTTTTAATTGAAAAGTCCTTAAAGTGCAAAGGAGATACTGGAGAAGGGAACCTCTTCTTTTATCTGTTCTTCTCGCACTGACTTACTGATTTTTCAGAAATAATGGTTACAAGTATTTTTTGGAAGTCCACAGTTTGCAACACATTATCTTTCAAAGGTGTTCAGGGAAGAAAGTAAAAAAAACAAAACAAAACAAAACAAAACAAACCCATACAAGTCCTGGTGCTGTGGACAACTTCATAGCAGTGAGTGAGTTGTCACGGGGGAATTCTGCTGAGCTGTTCTCAGTGACATCAGTGAATTTGTTGGAAACGTGTTACAAAATAACAAAACCAAACAACACTGCAGCAAGCAACTCCCCAAAGAAAACTTTATTCTGGTTATTTTTGCACACAGTGAGAAAATGTTCAAAATTACTTGCTTTTTGGTTGGTTTTGATATTTTCCCCTTTTTGTATTGGTAGTAGTGCTTTGCATTTTCCCCAAAAAGCTGCTATGAAGTCTGTTAGAATTATTTTTAAGTCTTCAGCCATTCTTTAGTTATTCTTTACAGAATGTAAATAATTCAACAATGCAAAATACTGTCTTGGGGAGTTGTTCAACTGTAAAACTGAGCTTGCACGGAATTTGTTAGGAATAATTTACATGTTTTCATGAGCTGATTATTGCAGTAGTATAACTAGGGATGTTCACAAGCTTATATAATCCTTTACGACTATCTTAGAATATTATTTATTACTGTTTATTATCTCCAAAGAAGTTAAAAGAAAAAAAGACTTTTCTATTAATAAAATAATTTCTGTGTAAATATGATTTTTAAGGTTGCGTTTTGAATAACTTGGCATGAGGGTTTTATGCAATAAGTGAATGGGCATCCTGAGTACGTGTGGGCATTACAGTATTGTGGAAGGTCGATGAATTCAAATTAATCTGGATAATGATGCTAATGCTATGACTTGGTGGATTTTTTACTGTAGTCTATGGTGAGAAGGTATGTACTTTTATTGCCATTGGTAAGCTAAGTAAGTTCCTAGATTGGACAAGTGTAGCAGTCACTTCTCTAGATAACATTTATTTTTTCTTTTTTTAAATTCTCACCCTTTTTTCATTTCAGGAATGTCTGAATCAGAACAGGCTTTGAAAGGAACCTCTCAAATCAAAATACTCACATCTGAGGATATAGAAGGGATGCGAGTAGTGTGTAGGGTAAGGGAGTTTTGGTTTTATTTATGAAGTGCATTTATTTAAAAATGCATAGTGATTTTACCAGTTTGTGACAGCACACTTAAGAGTACAAACTTTCAAATCACTTGTGAGGACTGAGAAATAGTTTGCGAAATTTGCTACTGCTTTTTCTCTCCTTGTGACTTCCAATCCACAGTGAACTACTTTGCAAGCAGAAAGATGACTTACCAGCTTTCTTTGTCATTACTAGTGAGCTAATATGAGGCTGAAGCATTGTTACTATTAACAATATATTTTATAGTACATAAATGAGAACAGAACTTTTTCCTCTCCTAGAGTTAGTAAAAAATAAAAGCCAAAACAAAACAGAGTCCCATCCCTAAGAATTTTTAAAGAAGAGCTGTTTAATTATAGTCACTTCCTTGTGCATAAAGTCAAGCTTTGAAATGTATTTAGGTAGTCTGATTTAAGTTTATGGTATTCAAGGAAATTGTGGTCCAAATCTTGAGTATTTTCAAATCTCACAGCAGTGGCTTAGTAATATAACCTGTAGACATCTCAAAGTCTTTCTAGACTCCAGGTCTACCCAGCTTTCCTAGCAATCTCGGTGTAGCGGTAGAAATTGGGTTTGTTGATCTTCTAGGGAGTAGTCCTGGTCTTGTTTTAAATAAATATTTTGGGTGTTTTTGCAGCTTGCTAGAGAAGTATTGGATGTTGCTGCCATGATGGTGAAAGCAGGTGTAACTACTGAAGAAATCGATCATGCTGTCCATTTAGTAAGGTTACTTTATTGTTCTTCTGGTGTTTATGGATGCTTTCTTCTATTTTTGAATGTTGTGTGATTTTCTCTGTTGTTTAACGAAGTCCTTTTCTTTATTTTGAACTGCTTCCCAATTCTCAGGTAGTGCAGATGTTAGAAATAAGTTACAGCACAGTGGTAGATTCAAAATGCGTGAGGAACTCCTAGGTGCCTCTATATCAGCTCCTTCAGTGATTTCCAGCTTCAAAGTCCCTCTTACACCTCCTTAACATCATATAGTTTTCTTTCTTCTAAATCCTTTTTGCTCCACAGATACCATTATATAAAGAACATCATATGTAGGCCACGGACTTTTTGTGTTCTGTGGTGTTGGTTAAGATGCACAGAGGAGAAAGTTTAATTATTTATGATTGGGAGTCAGAGCTGAAGAGCCTGAGAGAGAATTGAAACGTTTGATGCAGTCAGGCAAACTAAAGCCACAATCCAGCGAAGTATTTGAAATACACACTCAAGTATTTCCTGGCTTAACTATTCATTGATGCTTCAATTGTGTAATTTTTATTTGCTGCCTTCTCTATAAGGCACGTAAACTGATAATTGAGGATACTTGTGTGCACTGTAGGGAGGGCAGCGATTTTGGTATAGTTAAATTTGTTAGAGAGCTTTCTGGTTGCTGTTCTTTTTATCTGCGTTTGCAGCTGTTGAGCCAAGATTGTAAGGAGCTTACTCTGGTTTGATGAGGCCAGAGGTTTCTGTTGAACTGCATTAAACACTAAATTATTTGCATACGCATAATGTCCAGTGTGAACAACTAAAGGATGTTATACCTCCTCAGCAGTTTTTGCAAACTTCTGCATGGCAGACTGGTGATACTGGCTGATATCCCTGATTGGTACTTTGCTGTCTTAAAACAATATTATTTTAAAAAATTAAAAATGTTAACACAGTATTGTTTTTTCCAGAATTGCTTAGTATGTCACATACTTACATATGCAAACATAAACAAACTGTATTTAAAATGTATATGTCAGTTTTGCAAAAATCCCAAAAAGGTTATTAGGGTGAGTGCAAAGGAAGCAGCTTAAGGTTTTAAAGCTGGGGGTGAAGGAGTGGTGCTACATGCTGTTTTGTCTGGCTTGTGTCTTTTGCATAAATGCTTAAAAGTCTTAGACCAAGTGCTTAAAAATAGTAATTGAAAATGGCTGGGGTTTTTAACCAAATACATATTGCCATACATTGTTTCAAACCTGGGTGTTTCAGCATTGGTAGTTGAACAGAAAAATGAGTAGAAACAAAATTAAAGTAGCTTTACTTTCTTCCTGGTAAGAAATGCAAAGCGTAACACAGTACCATAATGCCAAAAAATGCTTGAAGAATCTTATTTTCAAGAGTCACTGCTTTTCAGCCTATCATTCTTAGCGTAAAGCTGCTGTGCATACGTTTTTTTCTCTGGACAGAACTTACTAATGTAAAGTATAAATTGTCTTTTCTAAATTAGGCTTGTATTGCAAGGAATTGCTATCCTTCCCCTCTGAATTATTATAATTTCCCTAAGTCGTGCTGTACATCAGTGAATGAAGTGATCTGTCATGGTATTCCCGACAGGAGGCCATTGCAGGAGGGAGACATTGTTAATGGTAAGTGCTATGAAAATTAACCTTCAGCATTTCTACCTTCTCTCTGGTTAAACCATGCAGTAAGGTGAGGTTTCACAAGCTGGCAACACGATTGGAATAGCTTCTTAAAAGAGGCTTTTGTTCTCATTCACTATGTGTAACTTCTGTTCTTTACATATTTAAATTAATAAGTTTATTTCAAAAGTTTGGTCCACTGTAAGAGTTTTATAATTCTTCTGCCCTGGTCTGTGCATTAGTATAGTGCCCAAGTGTTCTACCTGTGGGCTAGTTTCCAGTTGTTCCAGACTGTATAAACAGTGAATAAAATGTATATTGAATTACTCAACTGGATTAGCTCTGTGTGAGTTCTTAATTGGATGGCTCTAGATCCTTAAGATTTTGCTAGGGACATGACAATTATGGTGGCTGTCAAGGTTCCTAATAGTGGGGCATTGTATAGATGCATATTAAAAAACATAAGTATTTTTTGAGTATCTTGCAGCCTAACAGTACCAGCTGCTTTTTATTCACGGTACTCAAGGTACTTGTACCTTCTTGGGTAGTGAGGAATACTTTTATAAATTAATTTATTTTTTTTTCTTTTCTCATTCATTTCTTCTTGGTTTGGCAGTAAAAATTAATGACATTTGTACAAACATTTGCACCTTTGTTTATTGCATTGGTTTGCTTTTCTCTTAGCCATGAATAAGCGTATCCTAAGGTTTAGCCTACCTCCAGAAGCAGGTTGGAATCTTTTTGTCACATATTGGTATCTATTAACATGCAGTAATAGCTCCTAAGTCTACAGCTCACTGCTGTGGATATCAGCCTTTTCAGAACAAGCCTCGCAATTGCTGCCCCCCTCTAGATCAGGTTTGGTCAGGCTGATAGCTCTGCGCTGTAGCGTACTTGGAACCATTTTGTGAAAGCTACTTTATCTTTTCTTAATTTCCAAGGTGATGCCTTTGCACAGCTTTCTCTTGTTGCCAACTTTTCTGACGTTGCTGGAGCCCAAACTATGAAGCCCCATTAAACTTATGGGGTTGTGGCTCCATCTACACGGTGCTTTACCACTCCACCATTTGTGTGCCAAGGCTGTACCTCAGCACTAAAAAACACCTTTTATAAGAGGGTTTAGTCATACCTTTGTTCTCATCCCTGCCCTGACTGCACTTGCCCAAGCCTTGAGCCTTCTGCTTTGTTTTGATGAGGAAGAACAAGTTTACTCTTTTGTAGCTGGGTAGATCTTGTTACAGAACGGTGCACGTTTTGTGGAGTGAACGTGCATTCCCAATTTTCTTAAAAGGCTTCCAAGTCTTGCAGGCTTCCTTTTGGTAAGGCAGTGGCTCAAAAGTCTCTTTAAAAGGAGGAACAAAACAGGGTACAAAGGAGGAGATAGAAAATAGGAGGGAATGTGCCCAGTGAACAATGGAGGACAGTGCCCATCTTTCTCTTTACTAAAATCTTTTTAGCCTGCTGGAAGCAAAAGGCGGCCATGTCAGAGTCCAAAACAGAAAATCTTGTAATTACACAGCTTGTAGAGATGGCCTCTTTGCAGCAGGCAGTCTGGACACTGCTAAGGAGCTCTGATACACAGTTCGTAAGAAACTTAGCTGGATAAGTTACCAGGGTGCTGGTTTCTATACAGTCCTGTTGGTACATTAGACCTACCAGACTATTGACCAAGTCTGTTAAACACAGAAGTACCCAGTCTACCACAAGAAGTCAACTTGGTTTGTAAATCTAGAAGATTTTGCATGTGTTTACTATATATAATGACTGTATGATGTCAAGTCTTAATTTTTTACTTGTCTGCTATGAGACAGGATACGAGAATAGATGACAGCCATGTCTAAACTGGTAGGACTGTTCACGTATTTTATAAAAGGACTGTTTGCAACAAGCATCTTGTATGGATGTTCTTAATCCAAAATAGCGTGTCTTTTTTTTTTAATGTGTTAAACTAAAAAAGAGATTTTTTTTTTCCCCTCATTAAAGCTGCTTATGCTGCTATTTTCCAAGAATGAGTCATATCACTTTTAGTTTACAACTGACTTTATACACAAAGCAAACAAGTTAGAGTTTTGCTGCAACATAATTCTAAACTCATGTGTTCTTCTAAACCTTGGTTGTTTAAGCCATGCCCTTCTCATTCTTGCTGTTTGCCTGATGCTAAATGTTTCAATGCTTTCATTTAAAAGAAAAAAGAAAAAGTAATTTGCTGTATTTTTCTTAGTCAGGAATACTATTGAAAAGTTGCTGTGTATTTAATGTTCAAGAAATTTTACCTTTTGGGCTGGAAGCAAAGGGTTTTGGCACTACAGTTTTTGCAGAGATGTGACTTATTACTCTAAACATGCATAGAAATTACTGAAGGTAAAATATGGGTTAAAACATGATTGCGCACCATTTAAAATTTAATTTCTCCTTACTAGTGCTGGAATTAATTCTAAGAAAATATTTTAACCAGGTAAATAGCAATGGAGCTAAGAGCTTCTCTTTCCTGTTTTTATATTTACCTAGAAAACCAATCATAACGTTGCCGTGTCTATGTTGCATTCATGTGGTGGTCTTTGTCTTCCTTTTTAAATTGAGCTGTTGGCCAGTGAAACACTATGTTATTGATTTGAATCTATAGAATCTACAGGATAAGTATGAGAGAATTGATACTGTTGGAAGAGTTTACATCTGGAATTCTTCCAAAGTAATCTTCTAACTTCACAATTACAATACTACATTTTTAAATGTGTGTGTTGTCCTTTCACAAGTCAAGAGACAAGAAGTGACAAATAAAGCACTAATATTACAACATGTTTGATATTCCTTGCAGTGGATATTACTGTCTATCGCAATGGCTACCATGGAGATCTGAACGAGACGTTTTATGTTGGAGAAGTTGATGAGGGTGCAAGGAGGCTTGTCCAAACAACCTATGAGTGCCTAATGCAAGCCATCGATGCAGGTAAACCCTTTGGCTGAGCCCTGAAGCATGGTTTTGGCTCTAAAAAGTGAGTGCTCATATTTGCTGTTACTTCGGAGTGACTTCTGTTGTAAAACAGAAGTGTTAGTGTGTGTCACCAGCACATGGTGGATATTGTGTAAATACAGTGATTCTTCAAATGGCACACTTCTGTGGGTGGTGGTTGCAACTTTTATTTGAAATGTTGACAAGGAAAACGTAACTGAGGATGAGCTGATCCACGTGGGATGATATTTACATGGAAACGGCCTTTTTGGACTGTTAGTTACATGAATAACATGTTCTTGATCTGACTGGTTTAGAGAACATGAAGAACAAAGTGTGTTTTGGAAAACCAAAGTGTGGCTTCCTACTTCTAGAATTTGTATGGTGTTGCACAATGAACTGATAAGGTAAAAAAACCACTGTTTGAACACTTAAACGTATCTCTTTGCCCCTGCCAAACATGATGGTTATTTCATAAAGCTAATTACAAGCTCTTCATTTTTGAACTGTGGGAGTGTACCAGAGAAGACAGATCCATATCCTTCAGCACCCACAGAACTTTAATTATGTTCCCTATATATAACTCAGGACAGCTTCATTGAGACATACAATGAGATAGAAAGGTAGAAAATGTCACGTTCAGCTTCATTCACAAAGGAATACACTAAATTCTCTTAGACATACAAAGAAAAAAAACAACACAAAAATCTCCCAAGTTCCTGGAAATATTTCTGTTGTCTGCATCTTAAATACCCTGAAGCTTCTTAGAATCCCCAATAAAATTTACTCATTTTATGGCCTCTACAGACTGAAGTTTAAGGTGCTATATGAAGGCTTTTTACACTTGCATTACTCAAAAGTAAATGAAAAAATAAAATTAACTTACTCTGGTTAATAACTTGGAGATAGCTTGCCAAGCTGAGAAGACAGAAATCCAGATGAATTATGTCTTGCATATGCGCTGTGTGATCAAGAAAATACTGCAGAGCTGAGCTGTGAAGAATATAGATTGCCTGTTTATGTGTGTACTGTTCTGATATGACCTCTTTGTTTTTCAGAGCTAAATCAGAGTAATGTTTACCTTTGCTTCTTTATTTTTATAGCAAATGTTACATATGTGGTCTCTTATCTTTCATATCCTGGCTTTGATCTGTGAACTATGACAGAAATTCACCTTTGTGTTCTTTATAATGAGATCTAAATTCTCAGTGTAACTTTACCAACATTCTGGATGCTGTAACAGGATTTAATGGGTTTCAGACACTTCCTGCTAGAAGGAATTTTAGCAGCAAGTGTCTCGCCTGTTACAAAAGGTTTCCTCTCCCCTGTTTAAATCATCATAATTTCTTGGCACTGGACCAGCAGAGGCATGCATGTTCCAGTTATCTAAATTTCTTGTTATTTTCTGTAAATTCAGCTTACTGATTTAAGGGTTGTATGTTGTGGTTTTTTTTACATTAGCAGAGAATTGAACTAAATGACTTGCTTCACATAAAGTTTTGGCTATGTATGTGAACGCTGCTTAAGATGGCTCTGCATAACCACACATCTGGCTCCTGAAGGAACAGCATATATTCAGGGAGTTGTGAATGAACTTGAAATAGTATTTACATTCTTTTCTCTTTTTAGTGGCTCAAGGTTGTTTTTGGAATGCATCTTAATCAGCTGATGGATGAGGCATTGTTACTTTTATGGTGGTATTACTCCCAGTACTCAAAGTGAATTTTCCATACTATTTTAATCTGTTTCAAACTCTTTTAAGGCTTCCTAAAAGGATTGTCAAAAAAGTTAGTTCTGCACATGAACATTATTGTTTAGTGAAATATTGCCACTAAAAATCTTGTTTAAGAGTAGAGAATAACAGTTCTGTCTTTTTTCCTTTCTCAGTCTTTCACATATAGTAATTTTTCCTTTTCATTTGTGTACGCTTTTCACATAATAGTGGAGAAATAAGTGTATATCCAAATATAGCTCATAAATTCAGTAAAAGAAGCACTGTAACTCTGGGTATGAGAAGTTGCCCATTACTTTGACCTTTGTTGTCTTGGATTACAAACTTCAGCACACTTTTAATGTATGAGCACTTACATTCCTGAAAGGAAGAAAGTTGTGTTCTTGCAAAGGAAGAGTTTCCTTCTTTCTTTCTCTTTTAGTGTGAATGGTGTTTGATGGTTAGCTATGGTGAAAGAAAGCTCTATGAATTTCCATCTCTCTCTCTCTCTCTAATTTTGCAGTAAAACCCGGCGTTCGGTACAGAGAACTGGGAAACATTATTCAGAAACACGCTCAGGCAAATGGATTTTCAGTGGTTCGGAGCTACTGTGGGCACGGAATCCATAAACTTTTCCATACAGCCCCTAATGTTCCGCATTATGCCAGTGAGTATTCCTTTCCTTTGGGTTGTGGTTTGCAATGCACCCCCAATTTACTGCTTGCTTATATTCAGTAAAGTAGCATGTGGCCTGACAGCCATCAAGTGAGCATTTTTGCACTTGCGAAATATTTTTTTCCTAAACTCTGGACCATAGCGTGCTTTATGAATCTAAATTAGGTGAATATATTATATACTGAGACAATCTGTGCCCCTACACTAATGGTTAGTGTTAGCTCTCATCTGTATGTGGTAAGTGCTCAATGTTTTTGCACAAATCCCCAATTAATCCTTCAGACATCCTTCTCTGATGTGAATAGGCAAATTTTTCTATCCTTGGAAGATCTAAGCAAAAACTTTCATTTCCAGATGTAAATAAAAGGCTTTTTGAATGGTATAGATGGGTGTTGTGCCTGAATCTGGACCGTGTTATGTTTTGTTTCATTTGAGTGTTGTGATCTGGTGTTCCTGAAAACTTCTTTGTAGTGTGTGGCAGAGGAGGAACGACGTTCCCCCACCACATTCTCAGCTTTATTTTTTGGAAATGATAGCATCCCCATGACAATTTTTGCTAGCAGAACTAAGAAACAGCATCTTCAGGCAAAGGAGAGAAGCTTAAGTACCAGTGGGCAACTAAGGGTAGAGCAAATATTATTAAACGGTGATAAACAGTTCACACCCAGGTCATTTATTATTAAATAGGACATTTATTTCCTGACGGATGCCTCCATCTTCCCATCTCCTAACAAGCTTTAACATAGGTTATAGTTACAGATTATAATCTAGCAATCGTGGATTTCATGTTGTCATCTCCCTAAATTATTTTTTCAGAGAAAGAGGAAAATCTATTAATCACAGGGTAGAAGGGTACCAATTCATGGTATTTACTTTGACATGTAAAATTAAGACAATTTGGACTCTCTGGAGATGGAGGGCATTTTATACAAATTAAAATGCAATCTAAGAAAAAGGAAATTTCTCTCTTTCCTGGCTTTTGGGACCTTTAAACTTTTTTTTTTCTTCATTGAGCCAAAATGTCTGTTCCCAAAAAGGAAGATGCTGGGGTTTATTCACAGCAAAAGCGAAGTTGAAGACCTGAGGGACTTAAAGCCACTTGGAGGAAAAAAAGAAGAAAGTTGGTGCTTATTTTTGTCTCACTATGAAAGGATTTAAAAACAAAAAGCTCATCTTATAAGCCTTTGAATTATTTAACAAAATCATGAAAACTACAGGGAATAAAGGACTAAATTTGTTCAGATGCAGACAACCAGAAACTTGAATGTGAGTGTTGAGAGTGAGAAATACCAGCAGATTATGGAGATAGAGGCAAGACTGGTTTAAGTAAAATAAGATGTTCTGGTTGCTGTGTTTCAGCTTGAGATTTTTAAAGCATTTAGGTGATTCAGATGATTTAATAGATTTACACAGGTCAAGTGGACTGGGGGATGAGGAATCTATCTAAGAATTGACACAAGTTGTGTACAGCAGCGAAGTAGCTTGGAGGTCAGGGTTCCTGTGCAATGCTGGAGTCTGCTCCAGCTCTCACGTGCTGGGCTGACCCAGGTCTAAGCTGCTCTGCTCTTGAAGGGGAAACAGGGCAGAGGAAAAGGGCTGAAGCCTTTCCTCAGTCCAGCTACACACCTAGAGATGTGCTGTGCTTCCACATAAACATTTTTGGTGTATATGGCATCAAAAAGTTTGTGTTATTATTCTGGATGCTTTGAAATTATCTACCTTTTATGTTAGCTAAAGAAATACAGCATTATCACCCTGACACTACTATGGACTCATTACCCAGAGTAATGAGGAGGACAATCTGTCTTCCGTAAATGGAATCACTGGGTTCCTTAACCACTATCATGTTTTGACGATTTATTGGAGCTAATGGTTCAGTGGGAAAAGATTAAGAGGTTTGAAGCCTTCTCTGATTATCTTTAAGTGCTTCTTATTTCTATTGATTTTTTAATGATGTTTTTCGTCATAGAAGTCTGCAGAAATTCCTGTGTTAAATTTGTTCAGTGTTTTTATAGAACTCTAGAGTTGAACTCCAGTTGTTGGAGGGAAAGACAGCAATTAATATCAAGCTCCTTGAGTAAGTACTGCAGTATAGGAGGAAGGGGAAAAGGAAAGAAATAGGAAATCTTAATATAGAATTAAAAATGGACAAGTGAATGGGTCATCTCTGAAGGGCTTTTATGACTTTACAGTATCCCTGCTGTATTCTTTTAGAACAAGGATTCATTCATTTACTAAGATGGGATCACTATGTCTAACTTGAGTGTTTATTTTATTGCAGAAAATAAGGCAGTTGGAGTCATGAAGCCAGGTCATGTATTTACAATTGAACCAATGATTTGTGAAGGTGAGCAATTCAGCAATAAAATGGTTACTTGTGTCTGTTATTAAGTAGTGATGGAGTAGCATGCTGGCTCTGTTCTCTGTTTAGTTGATAGATTTTTCATTTATCTTTGGGGAACTGGTTTCTCTTACTTAAAAACAGTGAAAAAGTCATCATCTGTGTTTTTAGGTGGTTGGCAAGATGAAACATGGCCCGATGGTTGGACTGCAGTGACCAGAGATGGGAAGCGATCTGCCCAGTTTGAACACACTCTGCTGGTCACCGATACAGGCTGTGAGATCTTGACACAGCGGCTGGATAGCACTCGTCCCCATTTCATGTCCCAGTGATAGTCTGGACTGAGCAGGTGGATCTGAATCATACGTATATTTTTTTTTTTGTCTCTGTACTACACATTTTTTTAAGAGTACAGAATAGAGAGATTTCACCATTTACTTGTTCTCAGTGATTGTAGATAAGAGGAATATCTTGAAGAACCTGACCTAATGTCTGGAAAAGCAGAGAATTTAAAGAATTTCCTGCTTTCCTCCTACCTACAACACTCATGCTGTATTTTTCTTCTATCTTCCTTTATCTCTGTAGCACCTTTCTTCCAATTCGACCCACAATTGCTTCTGTGGCTGCCATGACACTAGCTAGAAAAGTGTGGGTAACCTTTCCCACTGGGACTTGAGATTTTGGGATCCAGGTTTTTTTCACCACTTCAGTGTGCCCCGTCTCTCTTGGTATGTGAGCGGCACCTGAGATTTTAAGCGTTTCTAGTTCCAAAGACCTGCTCCTGCTTCTGCAGATACTGTTCTAATGGGCTGGGCCTTGTTTGTTTATCAGTTGAGAAGGGGGCAGAAGGGAGAAGGACATGCATGTTGCCAAGAATAGGCTACCCTCACCTTTAATCTTGTCCTCATCTCTCCTCTCTGCTGATGGCTTCTGTGGTGATTTGGACTGTAGGTGACACACTGTGTTAACAGCAAGACTTGTTTCTCTTGCTGGAGATTTGATAGCATGGGCTTCCTACAGGGGAAAATGGATAAATTCTGTCTTATATGCAGCTTCCTGGAATAAGCTGCTTCTCAGTGAAGCAGTGTTTGCAGGCAGTCTCTTGCTCCTAAAGCTTGGTGAAGCTGATCTATCAGATGTGCCTAGGGAAAGGGATGAAACACGAACCAAAAAGACCCCACGATTCGTGGGATCCCTGCCCATGTGTGTTAACTGTGGGGCATTTTTTAAAGGTACATCCACAGCAGCGGCGGGGCATTGGATTTGCAAGACTTGCAGTGAAATGAGTACGTATCTCAAAATAAGTCTGAGTGTGAGAAAATGAAACAGCTTCAATTCTGTATTCATTTTCTTTTGGTAATTTTTAAACAGGTCATTTCCCCCTCCCCCTCAGTTAAGCAAGTTTCAGCCTTTTGGAAAGTCTTAGTTAGCGGGGCAGCTATGAAAACGGATTGTTTTCGCTCAGACTGGGTATGGAGTGGACAATGTTAGTATATATACCTCTTTATTTTCTGTTAATGGATCACAATGAGCTGGAAACTGTCATGTCAAGGAGGATAGATTGATTAAGCCTCTCTCTCTACCCTTTCTTTTCCCATGCCCACTTCCTTTCCACCATCTTTGGTGTCTCTGCTGAGGGAATGTGTTTTTCTTCTGAACTGTAATGAAAAATTTTTCAGACGCCATCGCAGACTTAGTCTTACACCACTGTAATGCAAGAAATAGTTAAACCAATGCAGACATTAAATCATACAATCATGGGCATAAAATGCACCTTTTACAAGGTGTCTGATGACTCTGTTGCCACATTAGGCCCAAGCATATGATGTACTACATACCTTTGGCTCCCCTTGGCACTGCAGAATTTAGGTGGGGGAAAGGGGTTAGTGCTTCACAGAACTGGACTCATCTACTACCAAATACCAAATTTGCCAGAAAATGTCTTCTCTGCCCTGAGTGCCTCAGACCTCTGTTGCTGTAAGAGTATCATTGCAATGTTTTCATTACCTTTATTATTATTTTTAATTATGCAGTAAAGTGACCTGGAAGGATGCATATGGAGCGTGTGCGCGTGCGTATGCGTGTGTGTGTGTATAGATTTTAACAAAACAGGCTGTAGTACTTGAGTGGGGTTACCTGTGTTGAATGAGATGTAATGAATATATTGAGATGACGCCTGTCCTGGAGGTTTGCCCACCATATCATTCACTTGAATGGTTACAACGGTCTTGCCTTTTCTATATGTGTGTGTATGATGGGGGGTGGGGGGCTTCATTTTTGGTCTATAAAATAAAAGTTGCAGCTGCTTTTAACAGAAATAACTTATTTTTTGTGATTCAGGCAAGATGTAGCATTCTCATTTGCTTGCACTACCTACAGTAGTGCAAGCCCTACTGGTAGATGAATGCAACCAGTTAAAAATCACCCCTAAACCTGCACATATGCTACTTGAATACTTCTTTGTCTTTGCACCAAGCATGAAGCATCACAGCATGAAGACTGTATATAAAGAATTCATACTACTACAGTATTTTTAAACAAATGAAAAGCTTAGTCAACATCTACACCAGTTCTTTCAACATGAGATAGCACATCAGCCTGGAGAACAAAACTTACTAAATAAAAATACTATGAAAGGCTGTTTTTTCACTTACCTAGCTGTAACTTTGCTTGAACGTGTCAGACCTGTGCTGACTGGATTTGGGAAATGATCTATTTTTGATTCTTACAGAAGTTGCTATCCACTTTAAGAAAAAAAAAAACCATCAACAAACAAAACCCAAAAAAACCCCACCACACAACAAAACAACAGAACCAACTAAAATCTACTTTCTAATGAAAACTTCAGACATTGTGTACACCTCTGCCAAAAACCCAAACATGCAATTCGTTCGGAAACAATCTCCTACAGTATTTTCCCTTTACTATCACGTAAGAGTGGAAACTCTTCATGCTGTTTCTGCAAATAGACATGAATATTTAAGGAGAAAAGATTTGATAGCTAATGTTGAATGAAAGTAACAGTGGGAGAGGGGACAAGCTGCATCTTTTACGTGACAGCCATATACATTTCATGTACAGTCATTTGGTGAACACTTTTTGTCCACTTAACTCCTTACCACAGTACAATACAGTACCTTGATCACCAAGAATAGGGTACAAGCTTACGTGTATGAGTCCCTTTGTCAGCTGAGCAACTTCAAAGAGACTGCTTCAAAGTCTGAAAGCTCTCTTACATAAGGGCTAGGACATCAGTTCTTCAGGCTGGGAAGAAGTTGTTTAGTCTTTGACCCAAGTGCTCTGGCATCACTAAATGCCTTTGTTGTTGACTTACCCTGGTATTACAGGGATGCTTTCCACAAACACGCTTAAGATGCAGATTCTCTGAATTAATAGTGTAATGCATACAACATGATTGTGTGGTTCTGAGCTAGTCTGTGCAGCCTAGAGGAAAAGCTGTTAGGGTAGAAATACTTCAGAACTTTGTTAGATCCAGTTTAGGGTACTTTTGCTAAGATGTTGAGCTAATATTTTGTTGATACTATATTGATACTCAGAGTACTCTTGTTGGAACAGCTTCTTGACAGCAAGTTTTCTACTGAATTCTGTCATGTTCAGCCAGCATTTCTGGAGCTGCAAGGTACTGAGAATCACGTCACTGGTGTGTTGGAGGGCTCACTTTCCTGGTACAAAGTCACTTTTTATTTCTTCTGGATGCTCAGAATTGAAATCTTATGACATTCTCAGGAGTTAACTTTGTTGTTTACTCTGTCTGAAATGAAGTTAGAAACGCAGCTACCTCAACTATTTTCAGAATGCTTTAGGGATATCTTCCCAGGGACAAATGGAAAGGATGTGATTGTCCCAGTTGCATAGCAGTGTCTTGGGGTAAGGCAGCTGTTAGTGGTGAGAGGGAATTTATCCTGATAACATTACTGTTTGCATTCAGAGTTCTCTGTAACACTTGTTTTGACCAGCCTCCCTTAAAGCATGAAACTTCTCTCTTCGTTAGCATCCTTGGTTCACTGAAAAACACTGACGTTTTATCTCTTATCTCTGGGTAGCTTTTCTGCCTCTGCTTTGCAGTCTATTTCTGCTGTTCTGTGTTTTTATGACACTGCTTCCAGGTTTCAATTCAAGTAAGTTTTATCCAATCAGAGTTCAGCTATATAGTTAAGAACCTGCAACTCCAAAATTAAGATTTAACTTCTCCCCTCCAAGAACAGCAAAAACAACCCACAAACCCCTGAAGCATTCATCACACAAGGCTCTTTACTGTTTTTACCCTGTGCTCCTCCAGAACAGACTGTTGCTCTAATAGTAATGTTCCCTGCTTCAATGGCATGATCCTGCATCAGACTAAATAGACAGGACAAGCCCACGCAGTTTCTTCTTGCAGTGTTGGTTGCTTCAGCTGTGAGTAAGCTTAAGGAAATGGCAAAATCACCCTACTGAAGCTTTGGAAGACACCACTAGGGCAAGTGACTGGAGTAGTCTATGCTATCATCTTTACAACAGGCCTGCCTACAGCTACTGTCATGAGCCAAAGAAAATAAGGCAGAGCATGGACTTCCCAAGTGAGCATGGGTATACCTGAACACTTAAGTCATACATCCAGCCAGATTCTGCTCTACAGTTGGTCTCAGGGTAGAGCTGGCTGGTACATCCTTTAGTCCTAGAGTAGCCTCAGAAGTTTGAGAGCTGGTGAGAGTTCCTGCTACTCTTATCAGTACAGTTACAGGACATCAGTGCTGCTTCTCAACCCAGCTGTGCTCAGCAAACTGCCCAGTGTAGCCAATCCCACATCATTTGTTCTGAAGAAGGTTTTTCCTCTGTCATGTATGCACATACTGGAAAGTCGCTAGAGGAAAACAGTAAGACACAGCAATCGTAGTCACAGTCTTGATGCTCAATAATTCAGATATTGTGTTTAGAAATAAGCTTTTATTAAGTAGATTAACTGAGTTAGGCATTATTGAATTTGAAAAACAAGTGCAGAAATGGAAGTTCCACAACTAGTGTTAATTATATAACACTACTCAGTGGTTACTGATTTTTGTTACTTAATATTCAGAACGCTCACCCCAAAATACATCATCTTCCTAGTCCCAGTGGATTTTCATTTGCCTGATGCTACCATTATTAAAGGACAGATACCACGATCCTGGCCACAGGAAGGTCCACGTTTTGTTTTAAAACTTTAGGACAGTTCGAATGCTTAAAATGGAACAGAGAAAGAGAAAAAACAAAAACAGTAAGTTCATTTTCTCCCCTTCCCTGCCCTCTCTTTCATGGCTGCGATATACTGTAACTTAACTTCTGTTTCCTCTAAGAATGAAGTCAGACATTTATCTGTAACATTTATTAAAAATCCTGTCTGAAAACATTAGTAACGCTTGTTACCTTTGGGGTTTTTTCAGTCTCTCCCCCAATAAGATATAACCAAAATGGAAGCTTTTTCAACATACATGAGTGTCAGTT